ATTGATCACACTCTTCATGTATGCTACAATGACGCGCAGGGGATGATTGTATCGCCATAAATGGTAACGCCTACTCTATCAATATCATCAGTGATTCATGTGGTCCGGGCCATGGTATAAGGGAAGCTACAATCCTTGCTGAATCACTTATCATTGCCGATTTTACTATCAAATCTAATCCGATCCGCCTCCTGCAATGCGAGATAAAGGGCCTGTTTGGTTCAGCATTTGGAATACTCATTTGAACTCTAAAGTCTCTTGGCTAAATGTAAATGGCGTTTGGCAATATTTTTGGAGCAGTTTGGGGAAATGCAATTGCATTTCCAAAGGCTTCTAAAGTCTCTTAGCCCAAGGCAGGTCTGAAGGCACTTTAACAAGTTGCATTTTAGGAATGCAAGGTGCACTGTTCATGCCGCTTGGGGGTCGGTCGACCTCCGATGACCGCTGCCTAGGGGTCGCCCGACCTCGGCGATCGCTGCCTGGATCGCGTGACCTAGGCGCCGCCTGAGGTTGGGCGACCCCTAGGCGACGGTCGCCGGAGGTCGGCCGACCCGCAGGTGACGGTGGCCAACCCGCATGCAACGTTGGCCAGACCCACGCAACCCAGGCGATGCCTAGGTCAGGCCTCCTCGCCTGAGGTCGCACGACCCAGGCGACACCATCTTGCCTGAGGTTCTCACCTAAGGTCAAGCGACCTCAGGCAAGGCTGGCCGTTGGCAATTGGCCGGCAGCCAGATCTGGCCGGCGCCGTTTTGGCCTACTGGCAGTAGATGAGTTCTTTGTTGATTTTTTTTTAAAATATTAGCAAAAATCTTTTACAAAATTAGTTTTTACCAAACGGTATCTAAACCAAAGTTGCTTTGAAACGTGATTTTAAAATACACATTACCAAACACTACTTGCATTTCGAAAAACCATTTTAGTTCAAAAGTCTTTGCATTTTGCCAAAGACATTCCCCAAAGCCAAACCAAACAGGCCCAAAGTGTTGGAAGCTTAGGAGAACATGGAGCCCATGAAACAATTCAAGATGTACATGTGCGGAATTGTACATTTACTAGAACAACTAACGGAGCAAGGATCAAGACTTGGCAGGTAAAGAGATCATCACAATACGATAATGAATTCTTGATCTTCATTTTGAAAAGGGTTTTACCTCTGATCCTTTCCCGCCGATTTTCTCTCCCTTCCTCTGTAGGGCAGTTCCGGCTACGTCAAGAGCATCATTTTTTAGCAGATCACGCTCGTGCAAGCCGCAAACCCCATCATCATAGACCAGTTTTTACAGCGATTCACCATATCACCAAACTTTGGTAGGACATACAAGACACGCACCTTGATTATACGTTGTCTGTTTAGTGTCAAGAACTCATCACTCACGTATATGACTATCACATGTTGATGCAGTCATCAAACTTGAATCTGTTTGTGAACAATGTGACCTACAGTGGGTTTCAAGGGACTTCAGCTACACGCAGGCGATTACATTCAATTGTGCATCTTGCAATAACATCATGATGAACCACATCTCCATAACATCGTCTTCTGGAAAACCCCTCACCAGTTTCTGCAAGAATGCCCATGGATCAGCTGCCTTCACTGTACCTCCAGTGCCATGCTTACAATGATGTTAAACCAAGAGAGGCTTGATCTATTGCTGTATCCGTACCATCTCCGAGTGCGGTTCGTCTATCTTTCTTGATCTAACTGCTCTCTTGTATACAAACTTAAGTTGAGAAAATAAAGCTTGACAATTGATGAATATTTTCCTATTTTATGCTTCCAAATAAAAAGATACTATCGTTCATAGTAAAGAAAAAGACAAGATGGTCAAGGATAAAGACCACAAAAGTGAAGGACAAAAGCCACCAAAAACCCCAAACTATACCAAATGTGACACATGTAACCTAAACTATTTTTTGTGACACAAAATCCCAAACTTATACCTGTATGACAAATTTACCCTCCGTCAAAGATCCGTCAATAAGAAATATTAAAAATCTACCTACATGAACGTCAGAAAGCAAATGGTGTTGATATGACATCCATGTGGCTTAAGTGAAATAAAAACGACATTATTTTTACTGAAAAATCATCTAACGGAACTTTGACGAAGGGTAAGTATGTCATGTAGGTACAAATTTGGGATTTTTTACGTTTCAAGAAGAAGTTAGGGTAAATCTGTCACGATAGGCATAGTTTTGGGTTCTTTATGTCACAAAAAAAAGTTATGGCAAATGTTTCATATGGGTATAGTTTATGGTTTTCTGCGGCTTTTTTTCCTAAGAAGAATAATAAAAATTTTAAAAAATTAGTTATAGAAAAGATATTTTTAATGATATATATGTCTTCGACCAAAAAAATAATATATGTGAGTATGTAGGGAAATGACATAAATAGTCCCTAAATTTTAACTCAATATGCAAAGTCATCATTGAACTTTTAAATCGTTCGATGTGGTCATTGAAAATGTTCAATCTAATCTCTTAACTTTCCATAACAAGGTCAAGTTTCCAAAATTACACTACTGCTCGGGTTTTAAATATCTTTTCATTTCAATCCATTTGCTAAATCAACAAAAAAATATGACAATCTTTTTATTACTTTTTTACCTTTTTATCTTTATGAATATTACGATAGTCATGATCTCTATAATAGTAAAAGTATCGAGTTGATATTGCGGCTATTTTAATTTCTGTTGATTAAGAAAATATGAAACACAAAAACTTGAAAATTCTATCTATATAAAAAATTATGGACAAGAGTTAGATTAAATAAGTACAAGAAATCCATAGATAAATTGATATCGTTATTAAATATTCTTATGAAAACACTTTTATTGAAATTAAAAGGTACTATGAATCCGATATAACTCTAAATGAGTTATATTTTTACTATTATAAAGATCATTAGTTTAAATATACTTAAATGAAACTATAGTAAGATTTATGAAGACCAAAAAGGTTTTAAAAAATATATTTTTTTTGTTGATTTAGGAAGTCGATTGAAATGAAAAGATATTTTAAAATATGGGTAATAGGGTAATAAATAAAACTTGTGAATAGTACCAAACGACTTATTTGACTTTCTTGTTGAGGTATTAGATTGAATAACTTGAAAGTTTATAAACTAGATTGAACATTTAGGAGTAGTTCAAGGATTACATTGAACGAATTAAAAATCCGATGATGAAAGTTTAGGGACTAATTGTGTCATCTTTTCATATTTGTATAAGAGTTAATTATAAAACTAATTATTATTTTCTAAAACTTAATGGTTCATAACTTAGTAGAAAGTTTATACAAGAATAAGATAAAAACTATAGATATGATTACGATATGACACTTGCATAAAGTATCTGTTTAAAATTGAATTGGAGAACTGTACATTTTGACCAAAACATATACAAACATATGTCTATCAGGTTTTAGGAAAGAATCGGGTTCATCGACATGCTTTTCCTCATAATTACAAAATTGTGAAAATTTTGTTGAGTCAATTCATCAGTTTGACCGATGGATTAAGTTCAATCATGTACAATAAAGAGAGCTGTTTTTTTGTAGGTCGCTTATTCTTAAGCTCTTGATTGGCAAATCAACCACAGCGAGTTCCTGTCGCTCCTCAATCATCAAAAGAAAATGCACGGACCGTTGGTATTTGCACCATGTGCCGTCCTATGAAGTCATCATTAGATGAGACAAATGAATGTAGCTAGGGTTTACTTTCGAGTTTTCGTACATAACTAGAGTTTTCTTTCGAATTTTCTCAGCATGACGCTATATGAATCTACTCATAAAAGGGAAATGAACTTCTATTGCTCGATTAAATGCATGAAAAAATAAATTAGCTTGTCGTGCTTATTTTAAAAAAGGACGCATGGAAAAAGAAAAGGGAAGGAATAGAAAAGAAAAAGGCATGGAAAAAGAAAAGGGAAGGAATAGAAAAGAAAAAGGCATGCGTTTGCCGGGAGTCGAACCCGGGTCTATTGCTTGGAAGGCAATTATCCTAACCGTTGGACTACAAACGCTGCTCGTTGAAAAAGAAAATGAAAAGTTTTAATTTATATTAAATTTGAAAAAGTTAGTTGCCCCGACACTTGCACATGCACGGAATATGCCTGCAAGGATACCTCAAGGCTCGCCTTTGTACATTTCTCATTGTCCTTTCTGTGTTTCACAAGACTCGCCGAACGGTCAGCCAACTTAGGTTTTGCTTCATTTAAGACTGGTGCAAATCTTTCTCAAGATGTACAATTGGAGTCCAAATCTAGCATCACTAAATTCAAATTTCTCCCTCTCTTTTGTTTGCCCAAATAAAAAAATTATGCCGATAATAGTATCTTTGTCCATAAAATGTACTAACTCGCGGTTCGCAAGTGACAAAAATAAAAGAAGCAAGATCTGTAGTTGAGTTTCGTCGTGACTCGGGCCTATAAGCAAAAGGGACCATATTACCTTGCCAAAATGCAAAAGGGATTTTTCGTGATAAGGAAAATGGCACAAATGTGATCCTCAAACTTTTGGTACATGTGTCAATTTAGTCGTTTGACTAAATAATCCAGGGACTCGATTGAATTCGGGAATATAATAATCCAGGGACTAAATCAAACATTTGCCATAAGTTTGAGGACCGCGTTAAACTGATTAAAAGTTCGGGGACGACATTGCACTTTGGACTAAATTTAAAGACCATGTTAAATAAATTAAAAGTTTGTCCCTCGAAAAACTCAACTGAAGAACTCCCAATGATTGGTTACAAACTGAAACTGCAGACAAACAGAGAACCTGGGACAAAAAAGAGGAGAAATTTTGAATCCACGCGCATGGGCCCTACAGTTTCCATCGGCGCGGCCCAAAAAACAACAACGGTCCTCGAACGATCTCTGTCCGAAAAGCCCAGTTCCTCCAAACGCGCACCTTAAAATATTCCCAAAAAAAGAACTCGCTAAAAATACAAAAAAAAAAAAAAATCATTTCATCGTCTCCCCCCTCACTCTCTCTCTCTCTCTCTCTCTGTGAAAACTCTCAGATCTTCCCCCATTTCCCCCACCCGAATCTGATTCCGACCCTTCCCCCCACCTCTCCCGATCCCACGCGCCTCCGCCGCCGCCGCCCTACTCGTCCTCCGCCGCCGCCGCCGCCGCTCCTCCTCCACCATCTGCTCGTGGGCCGAAATGGGAAAGGGCGGTTCTGGGTCGGGGTCCCTGAGCGAGGGCGTGGTGAAGAAGATCCTCCTCTCCTACACCTACGTCGCCGTCTGGATCTTCCTCTCCTTCACCGTCATCGTGTACAACAAGTACATCCTCGACCGGAAGCTCTACAACTGGCCCTTCCCCATCTCCCTCACCATGATCCACATGTCCTTCTGCGCCGCCCTCGCCTTCCTCCTCGTCAAGGTCTTCAAGCTCGTCGAGCCCGTCACCATGTCCCGCGAGCTCTACCTCTCCTCCGTCGTCCCCATCGGGGCCCTCTACTCCGTCTCCCTCTGGCTCTCCAATTCCGCCTACATCTACCTCTCCGTCTCCTTCATCCAGATGCTCAAGGCCCTCATGCCCGTCGCCGTCTACTCCATCGGGGTCTTGCTTAAAAAGGAGAACTTCAAGGCCGACACCATGGTGAACATGCTGTCGATCTCGTTCGGGGTGGCCGTCGCCGCCTACGGGGAGGCCAAGTTTGACCCCTGGGGCGTGATCCTCCAACTGGGTGCCGTCGCGTTCGAGGCCACGAGGCTGGTCATGATCCAAATCTTGCTCACTTCCAAGGGGATCCAGCTGAATCCCATCACCTCGCTGTATTACGTCGCCCCCTGCTGCTTGGCCTTCCTGTTCGTGCCGTGGATCTTCGTGGAGTACCCGGTCCTGAAGGAGACCTCCAGCTTCCACTTCGATTTCGTGATCTTCGGGACCAACTCGCTGTGCGCCTTCGCTTTGAATCTGGCTGTGTTCTTGCTCGTTGGGAAGACCTCGGCCTTGACGATGAATGTGGCGGGGGTTGTGAAGGATTGGTTGCTGATCGCCTTCTCTTGGTCCGTCATTAAGGACACCGTGACGCCCGTGAATCTGTTTGGTTATGGGCTGGCGTTCTTGGGCGTGGGGTATTATAATCACTCGAAACTGCAGGCTTTGAAGGCGAAGGAAGCGCAGAAGAAGGCTGCGCAGGCGGATGAGGAGGCGGGAAGGTTGCTGGAGCAGAGGGATGGAGATGGAATGGGGGAGAAGAGAGATTCGCAAGCCTAATTTTTGATCGAATTTAGAGATAGTCGAATATCGAGTTGAGTATGGAAATAAGTTATCAGGGAGTCTTTGGTGGATACAATTGGTTAGGAGGAAGGGCAAGTGAATTGAGTGGCATGTCTCTCAATTTCCATTTGCACCATTTGGTATGTGGCATTTACCTTATCCTTGTCATCTGCTAGTTAATGATGTCTTGTACTTGTGGCAGGGTCGAGATTCACGTCTATTATTGCTTTGGATCTGATTATGTGCTTTACTTGAGTTGAGGAATCTCTATGGCCTGCTATATTTCCCAGTTTCCCCTTTTGTTCTTCATACTAGCGATGTAGCGACTATCATTTACTGAGTTCAGTGCTTATTGACTCTTATGAATTATTTATGTATGCGAGTTTTTTTCTTGAGTTGCTGGATTGGTATAGACATTGCATCTTTGATTTTGCTGTCCTTGACTCTTACTTGAACACCATGAGATTTGCACGTGTTTGTGACTTGTCAGTACTTTTTGAAGGTAAAGCCTTTACGGGACGACATTTAAACGTGAAAGATAATGATCGGTAAATGGTTGTTGCAGTCGCTAACCTAGGCACTCTTTAACTCCTGGCAACGGTAGATATCATCATTTCACTATATGAATCCACCCGCCATTCTTATTTGGATGGTTAGGTCGGTCCGTTCTTCCTTTGCATTGCCCTATATTTTTCACGAGTAATGAGATGCATATTTTGCTAGCAGATTTGTAAAACGTTATGTGGGTGAGTAGATCTCGTTCATTAGCATTGACATATGATGGAGGAAAGGGAATGCAGCTATCACTGTCACATTCATTCTTCACTTTGCTGTGGAAATATTGAACTGAGATGTACTATGGAGGTTATGGAAGTTCAAATCTGGAGTGTGCGAAAATAAAAGCTGTCTCTGAGACTTGGCAAATGATTCAACTGGTACCCTCTTAGCATGTGGAGTAATGCTGACCAGCCCTGAATTATCTGTATTTCAAGTCTCAAAGTTTGGCAGAATTTGACTTATAACAGATTAGTCTCCATGAAATCTTCCTTTTCGCATGAGTTAGTTCGTTCTATAGTTCATGTCCCTTGTCTTAGCAGGGATATGCATCCTCAATTTTCGAGAGAGGTAAATCAGCATAACAGATGATGACCTATCATCCAAACTGACATTGGTTGTTGAGAAGTCGCTACTAATGTTTTCTTCTTCGTTCCAATGATGTCTCATCTAATGATCTCAAACGCACAGTGTGACTCAATCTAAACATGTTGAGGATACTGCAGCCTCAATGGTGGATGAGATGTAGTAGCCTGTGCTTTGTGCAATTTGCCTTGTTTCGATGGACTGTTGTGAGGTCTTAACTTTGGACAATCTGAGCAGTGCAGTTCATATGTACCATAAACTAGAGGGAACTGCATCAAGCTCAATGTGGCAAATAAATCTCTGTTTAATCACACTTCTGCTTTTCTCGACCTGCAAACTTTTCTGTCCTAACTTGATGTTGGATTCTTCATTTTCCGCCCTTCAACGAATGGAATATGTTCTCATCGGCCTCCTCGAACTTGGGATGATTCTTTATCGACTCAACAGTGGATCAAACCGCGGACGATGCAAATGTCATTATATCGTATGTTTTGGTTCCGGTTGTCTCGAGCTGGTGCAGAGTTCTCTGAATGTGTTGATTCTTGCGTTCTCTGTGCTGATAAATCCCATCCTCAAAGAGGAGAGTGCATCTTGTTGGTAATGGTGGATTGTTCTCTCATGTCAGGAAGTTCAACTCAATACTGATGCTGTTCAAAGTAATTTCTTCAGATAAATATAAAGTGGGTATTCTTTTCTTGGTAAATAAAATGAGCCTTTATTCGTTTTTGTTTAGTAACTTTCCTTATCACAAAAAAAAAAGTTTGAACATCTGCATACCGAAAAAACGCGGCCGAACACTGTAGAGGAAAGGATTTGGCAATCGACTTCACGAAGTCGTCAGATCCGACAACCTATTGTGCCTGTGCTTGAGAGCTGACGCCAACGATCTATGTCGTTCTATTAAAATCTTATGATTCGAATTAGCATTCACCTATGTGAATGACAAAAATACGTGGGAAAATGACACAAAATAGTTTCTAAAGATTTGCTCAATATGCAATACTGTCTTTGATTTTTAATTTGTTCACTGTGGTTCTTAAACTATAACCCAATGTGAAATGTGATCTTGAACTTTTAATTTATTCAATGTGGTCCATGAACTTTTAGTACATGTTCAGTTTAGTCCATTAACAATGTGAAAATGTTCTATATTGTTCCCGAAATTGAATTAATAGAAGCACAACATTGAACTTTTTCATATAGTTCAAAAACTAAATTGAACATGTACAAAAAGTCCAGATATCACATTAAACAAATTAAAAGTTCATTGATCACATTATACAATTTGATCAAAGTTGAGGGGTCATTTGTGTCATTATCCCAAAATATACGTATGAATGTCGAATTTTTTTCCCTATTAATTTAATTTAATTTATTGCCAAAGGTCTTTTCCATTCGCGGGAGTCTCCTCATTTGATGGTCAAAATCCATCCACGTCACTCCTTCCGTACTCGCTCCAAAAGGGAAACCACAAAAAGCCAACGCACTTTCTGACGTGGCACGTCCTACAGGCCGCCACGTCTGACATCTCCCGTCTCCTTCTCCTTCCTCCTTCCTCATTCCTCCTCCCTCTGCACTTTTTCTTCCGGTCGCAGGAAAGAGATCGAAATCGAAGCGAAAGAGGCGCTGCTTCGCTTCCTCTTGTCGATCGATCGATCGGTCATCAACCGGCGAGACATGGCTCACCGAACCGTCGTGCGCCGAGCTCGCTCCGTCGCTCGTGCTCTCTCTCCGTGGCCTTCCCGCCGTGGCGCCGTCGACGACGACGTTCGCGCTCGCTTCCGCCGCGGCCTCTCCGGCTCCGATTCTCCGAAGCGTCCAGGTCATACCTCTCTCTCTCTCTCTCTCTCTCTCTCTCTCTCTCTCTCTCTCTCTCTCTCTCTCTCTAGCTGCATGCGTGGCCTGCGGCGTTCTAGGATTCGTTGATTTCGGTTCTCTGGTGAGCGGTGACTGCCTCGGGCTTCGGTCTCTGCTAACTCGCCGAGCAAGTAGTCGGTGCGAAATTCGTGTTCCGTTGACCTCTTTCCCGGGCATTGGTCAACGAATGCGATATAGTGATAGGCTGAAGCTGGAATTGCGACAAATTTTGAGGTGCTGACGACCGTGTGTTCTGTAATTCATAGGCGCGCGTAATGTAGGATTATATCCGTGATGCCAATTCGAGCTTTTTCTGGGGCAAGTATAGATTTTTTTTATCGCGGCATTTATGTCTTGATCAGAAAGGCTACGGATAATCGATGTCATCAATTATTTCTAGCTGGTAATTATAAGTAATAGCCACTTGAGAGATTCGGACAATCAATCAAAGAAATGTGCTCGAATTGTGCTCCGATGGTGGACTTATTCCAGTCTTTGAGCTAGTATTTCTCTTCAATGCGTGGTCCGCATTGGGCAAATGCTAGGGTGAAAGATGGGTTGTCCTAAAGCACCTTCTTTTAGGTGTCATGTCTGGCATTGTACTCGGTGAAGGGTCCGTGCATCTATGTTAAGTTGTTTAGAGAACTCAACTTTTGGTTCTGAAAGCAAAACCCATTTTCAGGCCCACTTGAACAATACAAGGATCTCATCAAGCAGGGAAAGCTGCAGCATGATTCTTACCAGGAAAGCGTAGCTATCGAATTGGAAAATCTACTCGGGCGGCTGGAACAGTATGAGAAAGATATGGAAGAGTATCATGTATTACATATGCATTTGCCTTGTTTAATTCATAATTTAATTTGGTAATCATCTTTAAGGAACTCAAATTATGTTACTTATGTTTCATTCCCGATGGTTTATCCTTTCTCTATGCAGATGAAGCTAGCCAATTGGGAGAACAAGAGGGAGGATGAACGCCGCAGGATTTTGATGGGAGAAGCAGAGATGAAGCAGCATGGAAATATATGGTCATCGGTCAGCAAGCAGAGAAATAAGCTGGCTGAGAAGTGGATGTCTCGGTAAGCCCCACTCAAAATGCATTTGAAGAAAATATGGCATTTTTTTAAATGGTTCTTTTCTTGATATTCTTATGAATTTGTAGGCTTCGACACATAATTTTTGCAATCGTATATTAATATGAAGCAAGTTGCTTTATGGAGTTATTTCTTCTTATTTGACAAATCTCCTTTGCAGGATGTCATGGAAGTGCAACTACTCTAGATGTGGTTATGTTATATGTCAACAACATAATTGATCAATCACTAGATACGTTATCAGCTCGCCTCACGTGTTACATTTGCTTCTAGTCCTAATTTTTTGGATGATGTCCTCCCCACTTGCTCTACATTATAAAATTATTGATATTTCTGGAAATAATGCTTCCTAATTTTCGTGATGACACTATTTTATTGGAATTTGAACTTCAGTTCGCACTTCCTTATTTGTTGGATATTGCGTTTTTTCACAGAGAAATGCATGGACGATAAAGGTTGATGTCTGCTAGCTGCATTGATTAAAGAGGCATATTTTCCAATGTTTTCTGCTTTATCAGGAATAGGCCTGAACCAGGAGTTGGAAAATGGGTCTCATATCTCAACAGAGAGAGGAAGTTGGACTCAATTGTTGGTCGGCGTCCTACTGCACCTCCTGCTCCAAGAGGACTTTACCTGTATGGCAATGTGGGAAGTGGTAAGTTAGTAAATTCTGCTGTCACAGGAAGAGACACGCAGCATAGTTCACTCATGTCCTTGCAGCAGTATAATCACTGAGATTGACTTTCCAATAGGGTTTAGATGTTCATATCAGCAAAAGAAAACTAATAAAAACTTAGCATTGAAATTATTGTCTTCACTTACTTTGTACTGCCCAATTGTTACTTGTCGAACATTAAATCTGTTGATAATTACAGTAAAATTGTAGGGAAGACAATGCTTATGGATATGTTTTATAGCGCTACCGATGGTATTATTAAGCATAGAAGACGGTATCACTTTCATGAGGTAAGCCTTTTCTTCAATGTCTTGAAACTATCCCCTTGTTAAAAAGCAGTGCTATTGTGTACGTTTTTTTTAGACATTCTCTTTCTGAGTCCTTTCCTGAGCTTGTGATGTTGCCTTTCTGGTTTTATGTAGGCAATGCTTGAGATTAATGCACGCATGCATCAGATTTGGAAGAAACAAGTAGAGGACAAGCCTTTGCAGTCCAGTATATCTAGCTGGATCATGAATCTCCCCTTTGATACAAAAGTTAAGGAATGGTTGGCTGCAGAAGAAAGGTACAAGCAAGAGGTACAGATGAAGAACATCCTACCAGCGGTGGCAGACATGTTTCTCATAGATCAGAGAGAGGATCATGGAGGAGCCAGTGTTCTTTGCTTCGATGAGATACAGGTAAACGCTCTTGTGCTGTGTCCTAATTTGGTTATTATTCTTGCAGAGATGCTACCTTGACAGATACATGGGTCAAAGATGATCTCCAGAGAAATTATCTTGGAGATGTTCCCGCATGTTTTTTGACTCCAAATGTTTTTGCTCTCTAATGCAGACTGTTGATGTATTTGCAATTGTCGCCTTATCTGGAATTCTAAGCAGATTATTGAGCAGTGGAACAGTTCTTGTGGCCACCAGTAACAGAGCACCAAATGATTTAAATCAAGTACGTCAGCCTTTTGTAAAGCCGCAGAACCTTTTGCCTTGCCTAGCGACTCATTGTACTTAGGAAGCTTTATTTGCATCTGTATTACCATGTCGGAATTTATTGACCGTATAAGCCATGAGTTTTGCCAGTCGCCGAATTAGTTAGTAGGTTGGAAGAATTCTCTTCGAGTCTGGAGTATGCTTATCTAATATTAGCGAAGTATGACCATGTGCTCTTCTTGCTTCACATAACTTCTGCCTTTTGTAAGTTGTGATACAGGATGGAATGCAGCGGGATATCTTTCTTAAATTAGTCCGGAAATTGGAGGAACACTGTCAGACAATTCTGATAGGAAGTGACATTGACTATCGACGTCTTATAGCAGAAAGATGCATAGACCAGGTGAAAGATGGTGTCCTGTGTTTTCTAATTCTTTTAAATGGGAAAGTGCACAAGCGTACAACCAGTATTTCATATTTTTCTGATTGCGATGTTAAGCATTATAAAATTCAAAGCAAGTTACTATATTCTGAGATGATTTTCTATCATATGGTTGTTGAGATGTCAACTATGCAAGTGCAGGCTCATTTTTTGTGGCCTTTAGATGGCAATGCTCAGAAGGAATTCCAGAGGGTTTGGCATGAGATAACAAGCAAGTCAGGTGGACAAATAACTTCCACGACTCTAGGAGTGATGTTTGGAAGGTACTCCATTTGTTTAAGTAGTAGCATGTCTATAGTTTGATGAAAGTGCTGTAATGTATATAAATCATAACAGAACACTGAACGTTCCAGAAAGCTGCAATGGAGTGGCACGGTTTACATTTGAGCATCTATGCGGTCGGCCGGTACGGTATTTTCCTCTCTTTGAGATTCCATTACTTTATGTTATCAGTCTGGCATCCAGTAAGTTTCTTATTCGAGATCTTGCTTTACATGCATGATGCACAGTCGAATCTCTCTTCATGATGGGTTAACATGGGCCGAGCTCTGTTATTTAGCAGCATGATGTGAACCTTTATGGAAGAAAGAATTTTCAAAATCTACAACATAATTAAGAAAGAGAAAAATGGAATAAAGGAGCTAACCATCTAATTAGGAAGAAACAACAATGCTGAGTACAGTCTCTTGGAAAGCTAATTGGGTATGTTGTCTAATTTTGCTTTCTTTTAGAAAAGGGATAAAGACAACATATGTCCCTCAACTTTTTGAAATTGTTTAATGAGGTCCCTGAACTTTTTTTTGTTTGTGCAATTGGTTCCTTGAAGTATATGCTCTTTTGTTCCAGTTGCGGAAATGCTGACATGGACAAACACATTGGCGCCACATTAATGCTGACAAGACAAATTAGTGCTTACATATAATTTTCATGTGTGGACTGGATAGCATATCCGAAAATTTTCAATAACAAAAAACCAAACCTTAAGAGAGAAAGAGAGAGAAGAAGGGGGAGGCAGCAAGGGGCAGTGGTGGCACCCCCCATGTGCTGGCAAGGGCTTGGCTGCCCTTGCCGACTGCCATTGGGGTCGGGCCAACCCAGGTGACACCTGGCCAGGGTCGCGCAGGCTGGACCAGATCTGGCCTGGGGTCGCACATGCCATGCAATATCCTAGGGTGGCTCGACCCAAACTGCTGATTGCCGAGGTCACCCGACCTACGATCAGGTTTACTTTTTTAAAATCAAATTTATAATATTAATTTTGTTTTTTTACTATTCCATAAATGTCGTATCCTTCTTTATTTTTTAAATGCCATTAAGGCTGCCTTGTTAGCATTTGACGGCGACTTAACAACCACGACGGCATTTTTTTCCATAATTTTGATGGAAGGAACAAGTCGTAAAAGAAAAGCATATAGTTTAAGGACCCAATTCGCACAAAAAAAAAGGTTCAAGGACCTGATTAAATAATTTGGAAAAGTTCAGGGAGACCTCTTGTGCCTTTCTTCCTTTAGAAAAATAGTAGTTGCTGATGTTAAAGTACTAAGAGTAGAATTTCTTGATGATTTATAGAAAAAGAAATGGTTCTGCATGATCTTCATTGCCTTCTTCCAGAGGCAAGGAAGTTAATTAATCTTGTCAATTTGATACTTTCCTGGAAGTCTAATAATGTTCTCTTACCTTCATTTTATGGACAATGTCTCTGAACTTTCAAGTTAAGTTTATTAACGACCTCTAACCTCCTTTTATCATGTAAAGCTTGTTGCTTTTGTTGAAGGTTTTTTCCTGTCATGCACAGGTGGGAGCTGCAGATTATATTGCAGTTGCTAGGAACTATCATACTGTCTTCATATCTGACATTCCCAAAATGAGCATGAGCATCCGTGATAAGGTACATCACCATTTTTTAAGTACTGACTCTATTCATTCTAGAAATACTGCTCCATGGAATCTCTTATGTATGGCAAACAATGGTATCAAGTTCTGATAAAATGGAAGTAGAATGTTGTCTGATCGGACATGCAGATGAAAATGTAACAAACTCATACATGTTGAAAATTTTTATGTGTGTGTAGACGCATGTGTGTCTTCGATTTCTGTTTATATACTGAGTCTTTAATTCCTACCTGCCTCTCAACAAGACGGTAAGGGATTTTTGTTAATCTTACCCGCTTTTTTGCGGCATTTCTCATAGAATTAATTACTTAAAAATTTCAGGCAAGGAGGTTTATCACCCTCATCGATGAGCTATACAACCATCACTGCCGCCTAGTTTGCTCTGCAGCTTCTTCTATTGATGATTTATTTCAAGGAACTGAAGATGGTACTCTGTTTGATTTGGAGAGGTGAGTCCTTTTTCAGTAAGATAATTATTCCATCCGTTGCAGTCCAGAGACAGGAGCACAGATGCAGTCTTCAGGCTTCAAGTGTTCTGATTTTCCCATATTAAGACTTCTTTGACTGAAATGGTTTGGTCCTGCCTTAGAATTAAGCAAATGTAGCAATTGAATTTTTAAATGGACCTGTGTTCCTGCAGTTTTCTTATCATTTTATTTGAGTAGAAGCAGCATCCTAGGCCTATATTCCTGTCCACAGAAATATATCCTATATTGCCGAGAACCTCTATAAGAAACAAATGTTGGCATGGTAACATGTGTGCTTCCATCACTTTAATGATTTAAAGGATTTATATCCTATAATCTTCATGTTCATGATGCAATATGACATTTTTGAGTGATCCTACCTTATTCAAATGAGAAAACTCTGGATGCTTGGAAAGAAGGAACGGTAATATTATAAACGGAAACCCTGGTTAAGAATGGTATCTATGTCCCAGAACCTTTCTGTAGCAACTATGGATTTCAAAACCAGGAATTAGTAGCTACTGCAAACCCAATACTTACTATTTTCAATGTTCTAGATTTTTTTCTACAAATGTTTTGCTTGTCTTAAGTTGATGAAATTGTTGTGCTGGCGTAACAGGAATTTTGCAACCATAAACTATTTACTTGAATTAAGTTTGATGCTTGGTGGCTTGATTCAAAACTATGAACTTATCGCTGTTTGTGTATATCTGCCTTGCGCAGCTTTCAATTTGAGACTGAGATAGAAGGAAGTAAACTTCGTCGAGATGTCTTAGCAGAAGGCAATATGAGTTCTGGAGGTGCACCAACTGGGATCATATCAATGCTATCTGGTCAAGAAGAAATGTTTGCATTTCGCCGAGCAGTAAGTGATCCTCTTTGATCTCTCTCTTCTCTCTCTCTCTCTCTCTCTCTCTCTCTCTCTCTCTCTCTCTCTCTCTCTCTCTCTCTCTTGTTCAAGGGTGCGGAGCTGCATTTATTGGGCAGAGTACACTTTCATTAAATGTAATTGTCATTTCCCCATTTGAAGTTGGCGCCATTGCATGAGACATCATTAAAATACTAGTGAGTCAGAAACAAAATTGCGAACCAACTGTTTTAATCTCACAACTACACAGAATTTGCTAGTAAACTGAGCTCTACTTTCTTGCTTGTTTTAGTTTTTTGTTACTTCTTTTTCTTAATATTGATGCATATGCCACTGGATGGATGATATTTATCTAATCTAATCTTGTACGGTTGGTTCTATGCTAGATCATTTTCTTCGACTTGGACTTAACATTTAGCTGTCCTTCCTCAGTTATGATCCTCCATTTCTGAACTTTATGGGCTTCATGCAGGTATCACGCTTAATTGAAATGCAGACACCTTTGTATCTGGACGGAGTTCAGAGTTATCATCCTTCTTTTGAGAGACATCGCCAAGAATTGGAAAATTAAAAGTAGAGTGAATCACGATCTTGTGAAAAGTGATAAAACTATTATCGCAGTTTCCAATTGTTCTATTTTCTGTCTATTTGATGTCCAACAAAAATAATGTGATGTATTATTCCGTTAGTGAGTGCCAGATGAAGTCCACAATCAATTATACAAAATTTATTCTTCGACCAGGTCTCCCCATTATTCAGGTGGGCCCTCTTTATCATTATCTTTTCTATTATCTTTATGATGGACCTATACTGAGAGAAATTACTTCGTTTGTCAGATGTCTTGACCTTGGCCTTTGCAAAGCAATAAAAAAGAACATGCCTTGGATTCGTCATTCTTTTTGACAGAGTGACTTGATGGATTCATCATGCGTTTTGACAGAGTAATTGATGATGGAGCATTTTCTAGAAGTTCCATAGATTACATGCTGATTCTGCTAGAGTTGATTCATGCCTATTCGCTGCCTCCCTGGATGTTTCTTGTAATGGAAATCTAATATCTTAGTCAAGACGATTACACACTGGTGGTTTCATGTTGTCGTGGGGCAAGTTAGAGTAACATCTGGTAATGTACAGGCTACATGTGTAAAGCAGATTCCTTGGGTATTTATCATATGAAGCTACCTTCACAACAAAAGACATGAAGTTACTGGTGTTGTCATCAGGCTGTTTATGCTTATACAGCTTGTATGTTGAAATAAACCTTCCAATTTTGGCTCGCATTCTCATCAAACCCTGCATGCAAGAGAAAGCCCTGATAAGCATGATCATGACACTTATTCTGCCTCAAGATTGAGAGAAATAGAAGATTTTGTTACTGTGTATATTCAACATTGATCTTGGCATCAGGGTATCTTGAGATAGCATTGAAAGCCTTGTTAGATAGGATCATTGTTGCAGGGCACAGCTTGCTTCGACAGTAATCGACCACTTCAACGAACATGGTTCCTCCTCTGCAGGGCCTTTTTGGTCCACTGATGCATCTCACTCGATACCGCCGTCCATAGGCTGCTTCACTGTCCCATTAGCCATCGTTTGCTGCGATGAAATACCCTCCTTCAGGGAACTGATCCTGCGATGAAATACCCTCCTTCAGGGAACTGATCCGGGTTGTATCCCTTGCACCTGGTGGCTACATATTAAGACCAGAAAAAATCAGCAAAGCCAAAGTAATTTTTCTTATGCACCCTTTTCAGCTTTACATGCAGGAGCTAGGAAACTAATACTCCTATATTGTAGCCATAAGAAATTTCTTATGTTGCAAATTGTTCTAGTCGATTTTGAGCAGCATTAATAAGGTTTGTGGCTCATAAATTCCATCAAAGGTTTCTTCCCGTTTTCTTCTCTTCCCTCCATCCTGAGATTTGACTGAAGACGGCCTTTGCATTTGGTGCTGAATGAAGATAAACTAAGAAAGATGTTGGAACAGGAAAATAGAATTGACTTTGTCATACGCAAATATGGAGGATCATAAGGCATGGCAGTCCCAACATCCCCTAGAACTCTCAAAATAACTAAGCACAAGATTATTAGACATAGACTCGGTAAGAGTGACTTCATATTGTTCTTGCTAGTATAGCACCAGCATAGAGCCTAGACGGAGGTGGGTCGGAGAGAAGGCTTGTGGTTCTCAAGCAATTCTCCTCTTTTGATCTTATTTATAGGCACAATTGAGTCCTGTCCATGCATAGATTTAATTCTCCCTCTCTCTCTCTCTCTCTCTCTCTCTCTCTCTCTCTCTCTCTCTCTCTCTCTCTCTCTCTCTCTCTCTCTCTCTCTCTCTCTCTATAGTCTCTGCTTGCACAAAAATGACTTTTTTTTGGTTTTTGTCATTTGTGCTATTGAAGTTCGAATCGTATACGTTTTCATTTTCTGTTATCGTGCCTGTTTAGTTCAATTGGAACTGATGTCATCTCCATTGTCCTAATAGAATACATTGAAGGCTAGCTCTACACATGACAAAAGTTTATAGTATTAAAAGTGCAAAAGGTTCACAAGGAAAAGTGGGTAGTCTCATTCAACTCCATCATGTATAAAATTGACGAAAACTGCAACTTGTATAAATGATCAAACTTTTGCATTCACAAAGCACAAGGCGCTCCCTTTTAAACTAATGCTACCACCTTTTTTTTCTCTTGGCCATGAACTAATGCTACCACTTGGAGATAACTATGCGGCCACTACAGATTTAATCAGCTAAGTACCCCTTAAATATACTATTTCTCTTATAAACTGCTCGAATGGGCATGAGGTGCTGTCATGTTCCAATTGGTAGTACTCACCGGATAGCTAGTCCGATATGTAAGTTTACACAAAGGTAGCATGAAGTCTAATAAAGTTGATGGCATAAGTGATGAGAAAATGATGAAGAGATCAAATCGAATTGCCTCGGCGGCGGCGGTGGCTCGGCGATTGAGTGGAACTCCTTTTGTTGATTGATCTTGTGGATGTGAAGTTAAGAAGCAAAAGATGCTTTTGAATTCATTAAATTGGGTGGATGAGTGATCTGGTGGGTGAACAAGAATAGGTCTTGAAATGCGCATGCAACTTTCACTGCTGATAATAGAAATAGATTTGACGGCTCTAATAGGAAGTCCACGGTGTAGACTGAAATATGTCAAATCATTAATTGATTAGAGAAGCGCATATAATCCTCGACATAACTAGCATTATCTGTAAAAGAACATCGTGATCAACAGTGTGTGGAGTTGGAAATTGTCATTATCCACCCTTAAGTGAGATCATGGCTGGAGGGTTTATCGCGAATCGGTTTAAAACTTATTTTTATTGCATTAGCAGTAAATGCGTATATTGTTGATATACATGGATAAATTGTGTTAGAAAGTCTCACACTAGAGAAGAGCAGTTACAATATCATAATTGGCTCATAATTCGAAAGTTTAAAAGTTTTAATTGAAGACGAGTCCAACAAGATATGTTGACGAGCTCGAAATTGATTTTTTCTTAGCAATATCCCCGATGACGATATCAGCCTTCTGCTGTGCACTCCCTGTGTGCTGTGCACTCCCTGTATACACATCATATCTTTTCAAATGGTGGAAGTTTTTGTTTTCTCTTTGTAGTGATTGAACCTCTGACTTTTAATTAATCTACCACCTAGCCCACGTTTTGAAAATGCTTCAATACTTTTTCCACTGGCAGTGAAGAATGTTCGTATCATCGCCTGCTTGGATTTCCTGCAGGACTAATGCCTCGTTTGTTTAGTCGTAAACATCACTTAAATTTGGGAGGACTGGTCGAGGTTGAATTTCTTTGAAAGTAGAATTGTGAAGATGTCTAATAAGACCCATATATTAATGGTTCAAATAGGAGTACCTCTAAAGGCTGTTTAGCTTTGATCTATATCGAAATCTGTCTTTCCAAATTACATAGCAACAAAATATGGCTCACGTTTAGTCTTCCTTCTCTTTATGGTCGTGATCGCTCTGTAAGTTCATGAACAACTACTTCAATGGCAAGTCCATGAACAATAGTTTCCTATCATATGAGATAGAGTTTCGCTCGGGATCTTATTCAAATGGTCTTTCTTTCACTTTGAAGATGCAAACATCTACATATGAATATGTCGAGGGTAACATTTGAATTCCAATAATGTAGGACAAAATTCTAACTAGAGCTTCCCTCTTCCATTCTTCATTCCTTGGACGCAAAGAAACCCTGATCATATCCTGCATTCAAAAACAAAGGTGAATGATTTATCCAACGTCAAACTTGTTTTAGTATCAAATTAGAGAGAGAGAGAGAGAGAGAGAGAGAGAGAGAGAGAGAGATGTAGAACAATTAGAAATTTTACTGGATATATTCGGCGTTGATTTTGGCGGAGGCAGATTTGGAGATGGTGGAGAAGGCATTGGTGGACAAGAGAATGGTGGAGGGGCACGGAGACCTGGGGCAGTAGTCCACGACGGTGACGTCAACCGTGCCGTCCTTGCATGGCCTGTTGCTGCCACTCAGGCACCGCAGCCGGTACCGTCGCCCGCAGGCGGCTCCGTTGTCCCACAACCCTTCGCTCACCGCCACGAACAGGTTCCCCGGCGGAAACTGGTCTGCCCTATAACCATTACATCTGGTTGCTGCCACCCAAAAAATTAAAAAATGACGGAAAAAAACAAGATTATGACCGTCATATTATCCTACAGAAGAATTATTTTATGTGTGGAGCTTTGACATATGACAATATGAGAAAGTCATTCTGTTGTTTGTGTGGGGATATTTTATGAAATGTCACGTGTCATTCTGGCCTTGTTGGAAATTCGAATCTCTTGGATAAACTTATATTGCATTCTTGTAAACAATGCACAACGTCACGTACGACGGTATTTCCCATTCTCTTCAGCCAGTGTGCCAAACAAAAAATCATCCTACGAGTAACCCTAAACTAAATCTTGCTGGCTGAATCAGTTTGAAGACTGAAAAAGGGAGAAGAAAAGGAAGATGTAACGCGGGTTTTGTACTCACGGGTGTATGGCGGGTCGTAGGAAGAAGCAGTGCCTACGTCTCCAAGAACGAACAAGCCCATGTCTATGCTCATTAAGCTCATGCATACAACTATTGCCATTACTATCTGGCCCATCTTTCTTCGTAGCAAAATTTGAAACTCGATCTTGCAAATTTGGGTAGACAAACTTGTCGACTATTTATAGCCCCTCTCTCTCTCTCTCTCTCTCTCTCTCTCTCTCTCTCTCTCTCTCTCTCTCTCTCTCTCTCTCTCTAAAAATGACCAAAACGCACGATGAGAACGAGTCGTATTTTGCCGTCGGGAACTTGAATACCGCATGCATATGCACTTATCTTTTCTGACGGGTCCGCACCCCGCAGATTCTCCAACTTTCATAGGCTCGCCGGAATTTTATCGTTTCTTCTCTCTTCCCCTTTTGGGATGAAGATGTTATCTTTAAGACTTCGAGTCTTTGAACTTTTTGAGATGCTCACGTGGAGCGTTGCTACATTGCATCACCCATGATGCAGCACTAGAAAGTGGTGAGAAGAGAACTTATGACTACTACAAAAGGTGGGTTACAGCCCATGAAATATGTGAAAATTATTGAAAAAATGTTATAAACCTATTGTAAGGATAATCATTCGGTCATAAACTTTTCAATTATGTCAATTTAATTCTGAACCTTTTGACGATTTGCTAATGTAATCATTCCGACTAATTTTGACCGAAAATCACTGACGTAAACATAGTACAGTCGGCACTAACATAGATACATTTGTAAAAAAAATTTCTGAAAAAATTGTTGAAAGGACTACATTGGCAAATTATCAAAAGATTTAGGAGTAAATTGACCAAAATAAATAGTTTAGAACTGAATTGGTATCCATACATTAAATTTGAAATTTTTTCTTGGATAATTTTTCCACCAAAAAATTCAAAACAAATCTGTGGGAGTACAAGTGCTTTCACGGGGATTGATGGATTATATAAAGCCCTTCATCATTCGATGATTCTCGCGCAACATTCTATGCATCCATCACCCTACGTCCATGAGTATGTAATGGTCCATAGACAACGCATTCAACTTTTCTGAGCACGAGTTCAATGCCCCATTGGTGCAAACTTAAGATTTAGAAACGTGGGTCACCTCGACATCTTAGGACATCCTTGAACACTCTGTTTAGATTAGATGCGTGTGTTAATCTGTGCTTATCTGGACATCATTTTCCCTCCCCACTTCAATGCAATCTACAAAAGATCCTCGTTAGTGACATATCTTAATCTGAAATTCCGTTGACCATCCATTGGTATTATGCTCAAGGGGTCCTTTCATTCAGTGGGCGACCCCCACTTGTGTTCTTGTTTGTCTGTTGTGTTTTTGAAATTATACAAGGAACATGTGTTTGATCCCGTTAGTTTTGTAGGCTTTTGGATCCATTTGGAAAACCCACATTACAAAAGAGAGAGCTTAGTTTTTAGGAAAAAAGCTTTGGATTTCACTGGTATATATTGCTTCCCTTAACAATATTTCCATGGATGAAGATTGAATTCGAATATGTGTCTAAAGTACTATTGCTGTTAATTAACCTCCCCGATTGAAGCTCCATCCGTAACTGTTGTATGACGGAGCCGTCCCTAACTATCGTATGGTGGAGAGTATGTAAAGGGAAAAGTAGTGAATTGAAATGACCAACCATCCAACTATTATGTGCTGCAAGTTATACAAAATTAACCTAGAATAGTTAACTGATCCATTAGCATTGTTCATGGACCTTAATTAACTCATTAGGGCCTGCTAATGGATCCAATGTGTAGCCACGCCAGGAAAATATTGGGTGCAGAGATCATCTGATTGAGATGAGAACCTTAAGGTGCTCTTTTTCCCTTCATAACTATACCTTATGACATGTAGCTTTTGGGCATGAGAAACTGTTGATCAATGACAAAGTGTCGATCCACAAGGTTGGTAACTTTGGATCTATATTATCTGCACCTGCCAACTGACAGATCTATAGATTGGGGCCATCTGAAGTTAAACCATCAATCTCCCTACTTTCCTGGTGAGGACTATATGGTTGTGACTCTGTCATCTACTTTTCCAAGTCCAACTGTCCAAGTATATGGTCAATTGGTAGGAAACTAATCAGTAATCACCACCTTATTTGGGCCATTTCTGTTGTTGGGCCTTGGAAGAAATGAACATGGACTCCAACTACTGCACGAATTCTCTCTTGCTTTTAAGTTTTTCGGCCGTTCCTAACCTAGCTTTCACAAAAATGAACACTTGGGCAAACTACTGTACGAATTCTCTCTTGCTTTTAAGTTTTTCGGCCGTTCCTAACCCACCTTTCAAAAAAATGAACACTTGGGCAAACTACTGCAGCAGCAGTCCCTAAAGGACGTCTTGAAACCTAGAGCATAAACACAAGCCGGCAAGCTTTCGAACGATGGTCGGTTCTCAAGGCAACCGATTCTATTTACTGTCCAAAAAGAGTTAAGTCTATCACATTTCCGTAAAAGCTTGACAATATTTGACATGATATCTTGTGATATGATGATGGTAAATGTACATTGACAAATTCGATATTGGCGAATTCAATTCACTCTGACTAAAGAGAATATCAAAGATAAATCGAAAATTTTTATGCTGGTAATTAGATCCAATGGAGAGTACTAGAATAATTTTCAAAAATACAAAACACGTCGTGAATCGAAATTAGAGATGTCAGGATTACTTATCCTATGATAAGCACTCAAATGGTACCTTTTGTTGATGAGATACCACCCTCGCCTTAATATTTTTTCCCCCAAATGTAAGCACTTCCCCTCACCAGTTATAGAGAATGGAAATAAAAACCCCCCCAAGAGATTATGAAATCTTTAAAATGTGTCCTTTTACGAATAATATTCAAATGGAAAAATATCCCAGCGTGCAATCACAGCCTCCTCCGTCTGTGTAGCATGAAGTCACGGAGGGAGAAAGAGAATGCGTAGCTCTGCTCCACCATCCTTTGAAGAGACGACGTAGCCAAAAACACACCCAATATAAAAAAACACACGCTTGAGCAGCGACACAACACTGCGCCGAAAGGAAAGGATTCACCTACCCCTCTTCGTTCTTTGCAAGTTTTCAACTAAAAAACCTCTGTCCCTTGTTGTTTATTTTAATATAGCTATCACCGTCTCTTCTCTCGAATTCTTCACGCCAGATACCCAGGAACCGGATCTTCCAACTAGCATTTCCCCTTATTCCCTATTGTGCTCCTTGCTTTACTCCATCCACCACTTTCGAATCGAGTGCTCAAATTTCTGCCTTTACCTGTTCATTAAAAATCCCATCTTTCCCTTCTTATTTACTTCCAATGGATATGCAACCATGAAACATTGTTCTGGGTGTTCATCGAATCCCACTAGGAAGCGTTTTTCTGCGGTTTTGCTCGGTGGGTAGAGGAAGAATCCCAGGTTTGTGTTGCCAAAGTTGGCATTTTTGCCTCTTCTGATTCGTGAAAAGCAGTGGGATTCTTAGTTTATTGACGAGGTTTTAGTAGATGGGCAAGAAAGCAGCTCATTTGTTTGACGATTATAACGATGGGGTTTTGTCTATTAGCGGTTTGGGGTCACAATGGTGTCGCCAGGATGATGAATTCTATCCTGGAGGTGGATTGTTTGCCAGTGTTGGTCAAATGGGGAGGAATTTGGGCGTTACGCCGAATCCTCCCAACCCTGCGGAAACAGGTGGTGGTGGTGGTGGTGGTGGCGGCGGCATAAAGATGCCCTATGTTGAATTATTGGTGAAGTATGTGTCGATGCCTAAGGGAGTTGGGATACTGGGTGTTCCCGAGGAGGAAGGGACAGTGAAGAAGAAAAATATTGGGCTCAGACTGAAAATAAAGGTTAAAAATCCTTCCTTGAGGAGGTTGATTAGTGGTGCGATTGCTGGGGCAGTTTCGCGAACCGCTGTGGCCCCTCTGGAGACGATTAGAACGCATTTGATGGTTGGGAGTAGTGGGCATTCCACTACTGAGGTCTTTCGTGATATTATGAAGCATGATGGTTGGAAGGGCTTGTTTAGAGGTAATTTGGTGAATGTGATTCGGGTTGCTCCTAGCAAGGCCATTGAGGTAAACGGGAGTTTCTTTTTGTTTTTCTTTGCTTAATTTTAGTGTTTTAGCCACTTTGTGGCCATTGAGATGTTATTTGTTTGACTGGTGCTTCGGAGCATTTAGTTGTTGACCTCGTTATCATTTTGGTAGATATGAATATTTCTAATGACTTGATCATTCAGGAGATCACCATGCGTTGTTTCCTATGTTACAATATGGAAAATCTATCCAGCATCCATGTAATCTGAATTGTCAGTATTTATTATGGTTTTCCCTACCTGATGTTCCTGTCAACTGTCATTAAGGTTTGTGCATGACTGCTAGACTGTTGTTTTCAATCTGTTGTCCACTGCTGTGAATATTTGTATAACTTATATAAGTAGTGCGCTGCTTGTTGTGGGCGTAAGTTTTGCTTTGTTGGGCTTTTTGGAAATTAATCAATGGTCATGAGATCTTCATTTATTCCTCGTAAGTTCTATGCATTGCATGACTTCGTTCAGTTTCTCTTGGCTTTTCTGGGTTGTTGAGGGAAAAGGTGATGCTCATCTTGAATGTGATTTCTCTGGCAAATGAGTGGCAAAAATCTTTTGTTACTTCTTAGACCTCGCTTTCTAGTCTTTCTTCTGTTGCACTTCTGAGCTGCTTGTGTTTCTTATTCTAGCGACAGCTCATGCGACTCGTGAGCTGACTTTATTCCTGCATTTTATTATGTTTTTAAGAGGTTCTCCGTATATGCATATATAGGTAATCAGCATATCAATGTATAATTAAGATTGTATTCATGACATTCTGGTTTTTAGTCTTCTCTACAAGCTTTGTACATTGTTTCCCCAGTATGACAGCTTCTCTCTATATTCTGCCTGGAAAATGTGTCTCCTTTCTGCAATGATGCTCTCTTTCATTTAGTCACCTGTAAACAATCTTATCATATGAATTTTCTTTCTTTCATCTCTTTGGAGCTTCGCTGTCATTGCGGATCTATTCATGATGTGCTATGTATCCTTGTGGATTTAACTAATGCCCAAGATTTCTCTTGGTTCCTTGTATCCTTGCTCCTTGGTTTAATCTCTCCAGCTTCTACAATCCCTTAATTTTCAATTGAACTTCTGGTCCCATGTATTGCAGCTATTTGCTTATGATACGGTCAACAAACAGTTGTCGCATAAACCTGGGGAACAACCAAAGCTTCCGCTTCCTGCCTCCTTAATTGCAGGTGCCTGTGCTGGTGTGAGCTCAACAATATGCACATATCCTCTTGAGTTGGTCAAAACTCGACTCACCATCCAGGTATAGTGCCACGTCATTGCTAACACGATATGATTGAATCTTGTCATTGCTAACACGATACGGTTGCCTTCCCTGTGGCAGAGGGGAGTTTACGATGGTATGCTTGATGCGTTCTTGAAGATAATGAGGGACGAGGGACCCGCAGAATTATATAGAGGCCTTGCCCCTAGTCTTATCGGAGTGATTCCATATGCTGCCACCAACTATTTTGCTTACGACACATTGAGAAAAGCGTATCGGAAGTTTTTTAAGCAAGAGCAGATTGGGAACATTGAGACCCTTCTCATCGGATCATTAGCTGGCGCTATTTCAAGTAGTGCGACTTTCCCATTGGAGGTAGCTCGGAAGCATATGCAAGTGGGAGCACTCAGCGGAAGGCAGGTGTACAAAAATGTGATTCACGCTCTTGCTAGTATACTTGAGCAGGAAGGGGTTGGAGGGCTATATAGAGGTTTAGGCCCTAGTTGCATGAAGTTGGTGCCCGCTGCCGGGATATCTTTCATGTGTTACGAAGCGTGCAAGAGGATTCTGGTTGAGGACAATGAAGAGGCTTGATCACATAAATGACAAGAAAAAAAGCGAGGTCTTTTGCTTTGGGTCATCTACAGAAAGGGTGGAGGAAGATGACTACTTCATATACTGCGGCTGAATCGTTTTTCTTTATGTTCTTTTTCATTTTCTCATAGGATTTCTTAGGAAGAATTCTTCAAGGAAGTTATTGTTACCAAGGTCGGTACTACATACACTCGCAAAGATATCGAAGGGGTTTTTACTTTTCTTTCGGAGTTTTTTGTGTGTTTCTGAAGAAGGCACTGGTATGTTTGAGTATGCAAGTACCGCCTTTCGTGAGAAGATGAATTGGCAAGAGTTGAACCAAGAAAGATGGCCGGTTTGTTTAAGAACATGCCGATTGAGATGCAATGTTTTGCGCAGGTGCTGCTTTGAGCGTGCATAAATCTCTCGGAGTACCTCGCACAAGGAAGCTTTTTAGATTGTCGGTTTAAATGAATAATAGTACCATGTTCGGAATCTGATGTTTCAGTTTCAGGTATGAGTAACTTAAGCTTTCTTCGACAGAACAATGCTCGGTATTAAACGATCCTGTCGTATATTGATTTTGTTTCCGATGCAAACTTTGGCTGGTCACACTGCAAGACAAGCTCTTGCTGCGGCACCGAGGGGCTGCTATTAAGTAAGAAATTGAAAAGCGGCGATAATTCGACCCGTCGAGTCTGAATTTGAAGATGTACAAAGAGCACATCAGCATTGCGTTGCGTTTCAATTATCAGTAATGTGAGAACGAGGCTTAACCGACGTGCAGGAAATGCTTTCCGTAGAGACTTGCGTTGACAAGATACCTGTTGACAATTTGAAAGAGAATGGCGGGAACAGCGATAAAAACTTGACCAATGAACTTGTTCTATATTCAACCTTTAAGTGCTGGATTAAGTTCGAAAGTGCTACATCCTCGTGATAAAACAACAAATTACTGCACAATAAATAACAACAGACAAATCAAAGGTTCGGGATGCCTATATTGATCCGACACGGACACTGCGAAAAGGACACGACAAAAAATGACATTCTCTGTTTTTCTGTTTTCCAGCCAGCTTCTTCCCGGATGAAAGCATTGCCTCAATGATGCAAGTGACTTTGGGTGGCAATGAGAATCTTGTTATATACATAAAAGAACAACAAGCATGTGAAGATGGCTACCGCCCCAGGCGAGTATGATACAATTAGCAGTTGATGCCGCATTGACCATTTGCAGCAGATTTCGTGGAGTCCGAGGTGAAAGGGTCAATCCGTACCCAGAGCAATGAGAATATGGAAGCAAGAAGGATAGACCACACAATAACAATAGTAGGAGTACGATTCTGCCGGCCCAACAGACCCTTCAGGAATGGGTAAAGGTGAGCAATAACCCATATGGCGAAGAACAGCTTGCCGAACAGTGGACCCCATGACTGATACCCGCTGTTAATCGCATAAGACACACCTGCTACAATGCCAACCATGTTTACAATAAGAACTGTGGTTGGAGGGATGAGAAGCGATGTCCATTTGAACACATAAAGCTCAGCAAAGTCTCCATCTTCATCAGCTGCTTTCGAAGTGACTGTGAAGTTGGTATCAATGCCAGCAAGCACTTTAAGAAGCCCTTGGAACACAGCGAAAAGGTGAGCAGATGTACCACCAATGACCCAGAACTGCTCGTTCCTCCACCAATCGTCAATGCTGACACCACTCCAACGGAGCTCAAGAATACCGGTCGCGAAAATTGAGACGAAGAGGAGAATGAACCACATGCTAGCAAAGTTGCTTATCTGCAATTTTTTATAACATTGGGTCAGTCATCGGATGAAACAAAAGAGGAAACAATCTTTAATTACGCTGAAATTACTAACATGTAGCTCTAGATAGTCTAGCATAGAGTCACTATAACAAGAGTATCTAATAAAAATGGAAACTAGCATAGTATTGAGCACTCTTTTGTCAATGTATACTTTAAACAGTTAAATGATGCAGAAGAGCCAGGACTACCTGCTACATTGCTTTGAAGGTAAAAAACAAATGCAGATAAATGTCATTAAGGATCATGATCATACTCTAAAAAATACAAAGAAGAGTCCACCTGTGAAAAGGAGGATTTTGGTGACCACATGGTAAGGGCTACTAGAATATGGTTGACTTGGGGCTTATTTACTTAACTATGTCAAAAGGCCTATGTTTGCTGGCAAGCAGCTGAATGTTATTCAACCACCATAGCTGTTGGAATGATGTTTAGGCAGCTTCTTTGACCAATGTTTCCTAATGGTTTCTCATCCATCTCAAGCTTTATTAACACAGAAATGCGGAGCCAATTGAAAACTGAATATTAAGAGAACAATAACTCCATACCATAGAGGTGGGGATGCAAGGATCAGATGACAGAAGTAAAGAAGACCAAAGCAGAGCGAACATAAATAACATACAACAAACCAAAGCAGCACATAAGATTGAATTATCTACATTTAAGAGAGGTGTATCACTTACCTCAGGTATAATAAATTTATTCGTGAGAAGACAAAATGCAGGAAGCATACAATACGCAATCAGCGGTATTGAGGTGAGGGGATACACAATTGTATTGATGTACGCCAATCTCTCCAAGAGCCTCAATCTCCCATTATATCCATACCATATAGGACAATGCCTGCTTAGCAAAATCTCAATTGACCCCAAGGCCCACCTGAGAACCTGGTTTAAACGATCAGAAAGATTGATGGGAGCAGACCCCTTGAATGCTGGGCGAGGAGGCATACAATAGATTGAAATCCAGCCACGAGCATGCATCTTAAATCCGGTCAAAATATCTTCTGTAACAGAACCATATATCCATCCAATCTGTTTGTAGAAAGTACATCGAGTCAATTCCTACTATATGACATGAAATTTTACTGCTGGAGTAGAGATCGTATAACATACCTCTTTGCCCCAGTCAGTCTTGTCCTCATAGCCACAGCTAATAACATGGATGGCTTCTTTCAAAAGCGTTGCAGGATTGGTAGATGGTGGTAGGCCACCCTGTTCCATGAAAGTAGCTGCAATGAAAACTGGAGACTGACCAAATCTTTTCTCTAGACTTTTCTGAGACATCAGGAGCGACCTCTCATCATCATACCCTACGAAACAAATTGGTGCCATCAACATGACATCACACTTAGCAAAGGTAATATTAAGTTAGTCTAACAACTAAGTAACATCAAAAGAGAGCAACATTATTTTGTTTATTCTAAAGTTTAAGGTGGTCCTCGAAGGGCAAGGGAAGATAGCCCAATCTAATATCTATTCAGGCTAGTTTCAACAGTAATCATGGAGTAATTCCAGGCATCTGGACCAGTATAGGTCTGTTCTCTTACGTCCAAAGATACGGAAGGAAACTCAAAATTAAATCAAGACCTACCTTCAACCCCCTCCTCAACATCTTCCATATTGAAAATTGGAATGGTGGATTCAGTTCTTTTCATTGCTCTTTTCTTGTCAATGTACTTCTTATCGCCACCCTTCCCCTTCTTTCTCGAACCGCAACAACTCTTTACAACAATATTGGGTTCCAGATCTTCCTCAGTCAATACAGGGTCATATCCATAAAGGGCTTGCCTGTTGAAACAACATCCAGTTCCAACATAGACAGGGCCTTGGATGCCATCGAGCCCTTTCAAGTTAATCTGCATTCAGATCATGAATATGAAAATCTAGCACAGAAAAAAGGCAACAAATGAACATAAATAACTAGCATATTGGAAATAGGATAAAGATGAAGAGACACCTACATCAAAGAAGACAATGTTGCGGTTAGCATATCGATCATGCAAGTCAATCCCATCAAAACGTTGTGGGAACTGCACATAGCACGTCTTCTTTCCATAAGCAGGATCCATCATGAAACACATTGCTTCTTTCAGTGCTTTACTGTTATTAAAGTAGTGATCACAGTCAACGTTCAAAAGATATGCTCCATTGGTTAGGACGGCCGAAACGCGGATCTACATGACATAAAACAGAAAGTTATACATTCAGAAATGCCAAAAAATAACAAGCAGATCTAACCAGTATCTCCAGCGGATAAGAACAACATTCAGAAAAGCAGCAATGCAGCAAAATCAAACTCTAATATTTGTTTCTCAATATGAAGAGAAATAGTGTTTTTACTATAAGCTAGAGACAGCACTATCAACATTATGATCCCACACAAGAAAAAAAAATAAATCATAACTGATCCTTGAAAAAAAGAATTTCACGTTAAACTGAAAGCACAAAAAGAATAGGCTTCGGTAAGGAAGTGTAAACTTGGAATGCAATTTCTCGAACCAAGAGATCCATTAATCAGGATCCTAATGCATATAGATACAGATTTCAATGCAAGCAAGCAATGAAGAACCTAAATAAAGAATCTAAACTGAAAAACTAAATCACAACAACACCCACCAACATACATTCATGTGTTTGCAATTACAGCTGTCAGCCTGTCACTAAAAGAGACACAAGACAAGAAAAGCCACATAAGATGTATAGAGATGACAAACCAAAGCATTCATGGCTCCAGCTTTCTTGTGATGTTGGAATCCAGGTCGCTTTTCACGAGAAACATAAACAAGTCGAGGTAGCTCATTTCCATCAGTATCCAGTCCCCCACTGTGGCCCAGGAAAACCTATTATTTTGGACAACAAAAAGAAAACATTAACCAGACACATAAGAGAGGATAGGGTTGATTTAAATGCTTCTGGAATACTGGATAAGAGTGTATACCTGGATCATTCCAGGATGATCCCTGGAGTTATTTCCAGGCCAGGGAGTGCCATCCTGCATTGTCCACCCTTCTTCTGGCATCTTTTGTGCCTTTGCAACCAAAGCATTGATTCGCACCTTGAACTCCTCATATTCTCTCTACAAAACACATGATCAGACAATTTTACATTATATATACCTAAACAATTTGTAATAGATAATGCATCTGACTAATAGCCACATTGTCGATAGGCAAACCACTAAATCAATTTTGCCTTTCCCGAGAAACTGAGTCACAAAGGTAAAATATGTGATATTTGGACCTTCCCAATGACCTTCATTTCAGTTTTAGTGCTTTTCTAGACAAGGACCACAAGGTGAAGAAAAAAGAACAAGGACTAAAAGGTATCTGAGGAGAGGAGCAAGAGAATTGGCAAAGCATTCACAAAACTATCCAAGTCCATTACATGTCTTTACACTATGCATGCAGGTCAAGTATGACAAGCATGA